TCTAATTTAGTTCCTATGCCTTGCCCATCAGTGCCACCTAATTTTGTAAAGCCAGTTCCAGCTTTCTCCTGTGCTCCTGGTACTTCTACCATTCAGACTGTTCCATCTTCACCATCGATAGTTAATAATGTAGGCAGCCATTTGAATGAATCCTATATTCAGCAGAAAATAATAATTAACACCTGTACACCTTTGGCACCTGGAACTCAAATAATGATCAGTGGTACTCGGTTTATTGTTCCACCTCAGGGCCTTGGAGCTGGCAGTCATGTTCTTCTCATTTCTGCAAATCCAAAACTTGGACCTCTCTTAACTGTTAGTAATGGGCATGGATTTCAAGGTGTATCCTTTGCTGCTCCCGCTCCCCAGAAGACTACACAAGTGATGGGTAATTCATTAAGCTGGCAGCCATCAAAACTGCCTTTAAAAAGCTCTACCAAAATTGTGAACTCTCTTGGGATTGCAAATCCTGTGCCTATTGTACATGCTACACCGCAGATAATTACCAATACTTCAAAGCCAGGCACTCCATCTTTTGCAACAACACTGTCTACACCTTTGATAATGGTCACCTCATCTTCTACTCAAACTAAAACATCTTTAGTTCCTGCAACCCACACTAGTACCTCACAGCTACAAAACAATAAGTCTGTATTGCACCTAGATACATCTATTAAAAAACTGATGGTCAGCCCTGAAGGAGCCATTTTGAATGCTATAAAGACTCCAACATCAGAAAGTTCATCTCTATCCTCCTCCTTCTCTGCTGACATCATTTCTACAACTAAGAATCCTGCTGTTGTCTTCCCCAGTTTTCTGAAGTCCAGCATAGGTGTCCCAGACACAGCTGCATCTTGAATTTCAAGCAAATGAGCCGATGAAACGTTGGGGCATTTGTGTGCGTGCGTGTGTGTATGTGTATAAAACTAATTTATAATTGTTTTAAAAAGTACACTGTTTGAAACATCTGACTTATGTACATGTACCCAAGGCATGTAATGGCATGTTTTGAGCAGATAGAATGATGAGGCAAAAAATTAATTTTGCATATCATTGAGAATTTATGGGTGGAAAGGATCCAGGATGACAATATATAGCACCTACACAGTTTGCCATTAACAAAAAAACGTTACCTGTTAACATGTTAAAACACCTGTCACATCTCAAGGATTTGTGTGCATAAAGCCATCACTGATTTTTTTTATTGTTTCGTATTAGATTGAAGATCGTTTCAATTTTCATTTTTTTCAAAAAATGGTGAGAAAGCACCTCTCTAAATATCTTTCGGAGCAATGCTTCTAAAGGCTTTTATTGAAGTGGTTAAAAAAACCACTTTTTCTATATCTTAAAAACCCTGTTAAAAGATATAGAAAGCAATGGTTGGTTCTTGGTTAGCACATTTACTGGGATCTGTTCTTTCTCATAATTTAAGAAATTTTCCATTTTGTTTATAAAGAGTACAGTACACTGCTTTTTTTCAGATGTTCCCATGTTCTATATTGATGTGTTGTAAAAATGCAATCTATGGTGTAAAATTGTACATAATCCCTATTCCTTAACAGTATGGACTAAACCATGTGTAAAAAGAACTGCTCTGTCTTATTTATGTTTTGTTTACATAATGTATAGTTTTTTAAGTATTTTAGTAATTTTGGATAAGTGTACTGTTTAGCAATAATGCAGAAGGATCTGTATGTAATAATAAACAAAGTTGCTGTATTTCTGCTTCATAATACTCTGTGGAGAAGGTATGTTTGTCAGTAAAAGATATGTATGTATTTGCATTAAGAAATTGATGGAGGTGTCCAAATATCACATTATAAGCACACATGCTTAGACATGTTCCAGTAAAATACGTGGCATTTACTGTTAAGTAAATGGCTTACGATTATGATTCTTACTCTTCAGTTTTTACAGCTCTTCTATGTGTTCTTTATAGACCTCCTAAAGCATTATAATATTGTAGCCATAGAACTTGAAAATTTATTCACAATTTCAAATAGGCTACTAAAAGATAAACATTTCTGTTTGTCTTGGCTAAAAAGACAGAGAAGTCTAAATAGCTAATAAATTATGATGGAATACAATAATTGTAAGGTAGACAATATAGAAAGTTGACTTTACTTGAAGAATTGGTAAAATTCAGAATATTGCTCAGTCATAGACATCTGTTCCTCACCATGAGTTCCACCCCATTTATACTTGTATTATGATGTCACAAACTAAGGGGCACAGTTTGCATCACACATTTTGTCACTGCCCCCCCTTGTGGGTGTTTGTTTAGCCATAGTTCTCATAAGACAAGTATTCACAATGCAGTAGCCATCAACCACTTTATCTCCAAACACAACCAATAGCTCTTGCCACTTCAAACCACCATCTATTCTTTGTTTTCTATTATACCATTGCAAATTCAGCAATTACTATTTCTATTTGGAAGAAATCAGAGAGGAGCACATGGTTGGTTTATGGATAGTATCTTCTGAAAACAAGCCTTAGATTGGTGGTTTGCAGGTGTACCGCTTGGGAGGAATCACTGGATGTGTTCATGGCTTAACACTGGTGGATGGTGGCCATAAATGAACTCTTAATCTGAAATTTACTTTCAGATTTCAAAATTAGGATTTCCTCTTGGACCAGAAATAGAAGCACTGTGGTTAACATAGAAACTGTGTGGTAGATAACTCTCAAACATTCATCTAATTAAGATTATTTAATCCCTTCTTTAGGATTATATAACAATATATTCATATAATGCCATAGTAATATATAAAAATCTTAAGAAATTTTATTTTTTTACAAATGAGGAACTGAGATTTAGATTTCCCCCACCATGAAGTGAACCTTAGAATATAATATTCTGGATTCATATGTAACTTTATATGTAGTGGGCCTGGCTGAGCCCGTAAGGTAGAAGGGTAGAGGTTTCAGAGTTCCTTTCCAGAAGCCTTATGGAGCTTCACTCTGGTTCACCTCCTGATTTGGATTAGCAGCTTGGGAGTTCCAGCTGCCCCACCTGTCTTCCTGGGGTACTCACCTACTATCTTCCCCATAATCCTGGTGTGTGAAAGAGATAGGCTCATGCCCTGGGCTGCCTTTCTGAGAATTAAATGGTACCAAAAAAAAAAAAAAAGAGAGGAAATAATGTTTATAATGCAATTCTATGACCATATCACTTAAAGACATTAGTCTAGAAGATTCAGCCCTTCCTTGCCATGTAAGGCAGAAGGCATGGTTATTTAATATCAATTCTGAATTGATATAGGATAAGATTCTTTGTGACTTTGACATCCTGTTTCTTTACCAATAATTTGGATTCAGATGAGACAAATAGATCTGTGGTGTCTTTTTCTTTATTTAAAAACAAACTGGTGTGCAGGAAATAATAATTTAATCCTTTCTTTCCTAATGCAATTTTCTAGATTTGTTGCCTCAAGTTTTTTTTTTTTTTTTTACTGCAGAGGACATTGTACAATAAAAGTAACTTCTCTTTTGCTGAAAGTAAGTGACCCAATTTAGATTGGTTAAGAGGGGCATAATGGAGAGATTTAATCCAGTGGATTGTTATGCCCCCAATTCAAATCCTCTGTGGTAATTTTAAAATAATGAAAAGGGCCATGAATTTCCTATAGTATAACCAGTTAGATCTTTAATCAAATAGTTGTTCATCAAGTAGTTTAATTACGTTCAGGGGACTTACCCCTAAATGTATATCAGACTGCATCTTGAGTTCCTGAATTTGAGTTGAAGTTACCAGATTTAGATGCAAAGCTAAATGTATTTTTAATATAAGTATTTATTAAATTTATATACTGCTTCTTTTTGAAGAGGCCCTAAGTGGTGTATATAATAAGTGACGGTAATATGACACCAATGCAAAATACCATGGAATACAGAACAAAAAAACACCATCGGCATACAAAGTTCATTTATAGATATGAAAATGCTGAGAAACGTGGAGGTTGAGAGGGATTGAATGTTGTCATCTCACCCATAAACAGTCACTGGGAATTCCTACCAGTACCCTCACCTACTACTCTCGCATAAGGGCATGAATTGGTTGGAATCTAATTGCTCAAAGACAAACAGAAAGTGATAATACCAGACCTTCAATAAATCCTATCACAACAAAACCTGAAAAATCTAGAAGATGAAGAACACATTTTTAGCATCTTCTCCAAAGTCCTTTCAACAAAAAAATGTAAATGATTGTTTCAGGAGACTGTAATGCCTGATTAATTGTGCTATTTCTTTCATATTAATACTTGAATTGTTTTTAATGTGCTTGTTTTCTGTTTCATTTGAGGAATATATCAACATTGTTTCGTTATGAATTATTCTGAATAGAGTTTTAAAAGAGCAGGATGTTGATAGTAAATTACTTAATTTCCTCACCAAAGCTTTTCTCCCAGCTATTCTTTCTCCCAGTATTACTCCAAAGGAAAAAGGCAAGTAGGAAGACGTATTCTGGGGGCAAAATGTAAGAATCATTAGAAGTTTTTTTGCACCCTAAATGTGAGTGCATGCACAGTTTATACCAGATTGGACAGGACTGGAGATGGGTCATAATCCTGGATCTTATTTTGCTTTTAGAAAACTAGCAAAATAAGCTATTGAGTTGTATAAGTAGGCACTATCTGATGACAGGTTTTGAATACAGAGAAAGTTCTATTGCATCTTATAATGTCTAAAAGATAAAATTGCCTCAGATTGATCTTAAATCCTGGTAATTTATATAGACACATCCTTGCAGTTTTCTTGCCATAATACAGAAGTGATTTTTCATTGTTTTCTCCCAGGAATTTTTTATTCATTTTCCCAGTTTAGGTCATAGCTCTGGATTTCCCAGATGTTCCCCACAATCCTGATGAAATTTCTAGATCAGCCAAGGTTAGCTAAATCCCCTTTTTGTTAGTATTGCCATGGATTTCAGGAAGACTGGTCCTTGTTTTTTATAATATTTATTACATGTATAGTTTTAAATGAAATAGTATTTTACTGTCAAATTTATATTGAATAAAAATGTATAGAATGAAGATATATAGGCTATAATTTCAACATCTTAGGCATCACATGCAAAAGAGGACAGCTAGGTTTTCTTAAGCAAGAATTACTTCTGGAACTATTCATATTAGCTTGCATTTTGCCTCTCAGATACTCCTAGAAATTACTTAAAGCAAGCAAGCACTTGTTTCATTCCTCCTGTTTATGGTGCATACGGTGGTGGCAACAGATTGCTGGAGCTCTTATCATAGGCTGGTGGGGCATCTGGCACCTGTGTCAATGAAAGTTGAGTAAGGGAGATGTTAATAATATGCAAAGAAACATAAAGCTTCATACTTACCAATACTAATATAAAAATGTTTCTTAAGGATCCTCCACATTATCAATTTCCAGAGGCACAACTGTGCTAGCTTTCAGCAGCCAGTATGACAAGGAGTTTTACAAGTAATATATTTTTGCATATATTTCATGGTTCATCTTCATCAAATGTTGTAAGCATCCGTTGTAAGAAATAGCTTGTGTTCTGTGTTCTAGATGGCAGCTGGGAGTATATATGTATGTGTACTGTTGGTTGGTTTCCTATATAAAATTATGCTTCTGTGTTCATCCAAAAGAGATAACCAGGAGTTTTAAGGCAAGCATTTTCAAAGTTCAATATTCAACCATTTAATTTTTTTTTTTTAAGTCACCACTGATTCCCAGGAATAATCTACTATGGAACAGACCAGCAGTAAAAGTCAGTAGTTGCCACAAGTCCCAGCTAAAACCCTTCATATTTATCATCAAGATAGCCTACAGTCCATCCTGGACAATGACATTTCCCTTTCATGGGCCTTGGATAGTGGACCTCTGCTTGCTTAAAGGAAATGTAAACCAGCTATTAAGCAACAGAATGCCACAATGATACAGTCACAAGAACCAAACCCTACAGAGACCCAGTGCCAAATCTGTCCCTATCTATTATAGGACTTACTCTACTAACCTTTCCATTGGATAAACTGGTTACACTCAACAAAATAATAAATTAATTGGACACAATCTGACATCAGAAAGGACGAATACCCAGAAACCAATAGGAGAACACTTCAAGTGCCCAGACTATTTTGTCATTGACCTCAAGGTGGCACCTTAAGAAAAGGAATTCCTAAAATGAATTTAGTAACAAAATAGCTGAATTAGAATTCAAAGATTTAACGCAATTTCTTATAGATTAAACAAACACGACATATTTTAACTGACAATGCAAGGATGTCTGACATAACTAACTACCATTTTGGTTTTGGCTACTTAGGTAAATCTGTTTCTTTTTCCCATCCCTCCCTTCTCTTTCCCTTGCCCCCAAACCCCTGTGTATACATAAGATTACCATATGTGGATGTTCTAAAAAGAAAACCCTCCGTAGAGGGTCCTGCTTCCCCAAACATTCATTCATTCTGTCAAGTCCTAAAAGGACAGATGCAACAGAACAGAACATTCATGTGTACAAAGCAGTGTTTGGCTCCCCAGGATCATTTTTGTCTAAGCCATAACCAAAAGGTACAGCCTCAAAATGAGGGAAAATAATTGCCCACTAGTTTATCAAAGTTTCAAATGACAAATTATGCTGCAGTAAAAAATCCTGAAAAAGTAGTTCTGTAAGTAGTTTACTCACAAATAAATAAGTGTAATATACTTATTACTATTGGATAATCAGCAATGCCAGTGGAGAAAGGGAACAACTGAATATATTCAATAAAAATGGAAACTCGTTTACAAGGTAAAATGTAAGGCTGTATGGATTGGATGTGAACTTTACACAGGCTTTCTGCACCTATATGTGTATTGACTGCTATGGGTAATAGATGCAGACAGAATTAGCAGAAGAGTTCTGCTTTTTTATGTCCTTTCCCTGGCTAAAAGACTAACTTTTCATGTCCAGAGTAACATACAGGTAGTCCTTACTTAATGACCACAATAGGGACCAGAAAATTGGTCATTAAGTGGAGTAGTTGTTAAGCGAGTCACCATGTGACCAGACCCGATTTTATGACCATTTTTATGACAGTCATTAAGCAAATCACTATGGTCATTAAACAAATCCAGCTTCTCCAATGGTCTTTTTTTCCAGAATTCATTTAATGACCACATGATTTGCTTAATGACCATTGTAAAAAAAGGTCTCAAATTGCAATCATGTGACCATGGAGGGTGGTGCAACAGTTTGTAATGGTCGTAACTGTGAGTACAGGTTGTAAAGCACTTTATTTGAAGCTGTCATAACTTTGAACCATCATTAAAGGAATGGTCATTAAGCAAGGACTACCTGTTCTTCCTATTGGTTGGATTGATACTCTCAGGACTGTCATCATTTCCTCTCTTTCCAGTTCAGCAATTATCTTCTTCTGACTCTGACCTATGTAATTTAGATTCTTACCTTGACTCGTTCTCCATGGCAGAGGAGAGGATACTATAGCTGTAGCTGTAGACAGACTTAAATAACTCAGACATTCCTATCACAGTGTTATTTGCAAAAGCTTCTCTTTATTTTCCTTCATGCAAGTTCCAGCTTCCAGAATACTTTCACACAAATTCCTAATTTTAGTGTTTCTCTCTATACTGTTTAAAGGCATCTGATAACCTACAATAAGGGATACCCTTGCATGTTTAAATACAAAAGTATTACAGCTACTCCTTGTTTAGTGACTACCTCAGTTAGTGACCATTCACAAATACAATGGTAATAAATTATAATAAAAAATTCATTTTCTGACCAATGTGCACATTTACAACCAAATTTCATGTGCATGACAACAAAAGCCTTCAGTGTGAAACTGATTAAGGTGTGCTCTGTTGCAGGCAGTAGGGAGGGTTCTAATCAATTAGTTAAAGTCACAGAACTGAGTCTGTTAACTTGCTGCATAAAAAAACAGCTCAGGACAGATCACTTGTTTAAGCAATCTCTCCACCCTGCCAGGGGGCAAAAAAGGGGGGGAAAACAGGTCAGAACATTGAATAAGATGGCAGCAACCAGTGCTCTTTGCAATCTCTCTCTCTCTCTCTGTCTCTCTCTATCTCAGTCACATGTTCTCTTAGCGACCATTCTGCTTAATGACAAAATTGCTGGAACAGATTGTGGTTGCTAAACAAGGAGAGGGTGTACTTAAAATTTCTTCTAACAGTATAGTGACATCTAATGGTTATCTAGATTTTTGCAGCTCAGATCTGGAAGTCCTTTTTTTTTTTTTTTTTTTTT